ATGCTTGCCCTACTAAGGATTCTGTTTGTGGGTTTATCGGGTGGGTTGACCCACCTATTTGTGCTAGGAGTAAAACCATCATACCTGGTCTTCTAAGAAACATAAATACATTGGAGGAAAGATGTAATGGGCTGGTAAGAAGTATCAACATGTTACAGGAACAGTGCAATGGACTTTTGAGCAGGAACAACATGTTGGAGGCAAGGTGTGATGCATTGAAGGATGAAGGTTTCAAGCTGAAGATGTATTTATGTGCAAGTTGGTTTATGTTTGTGATTGTTATCTTTAGTACTTGGTCTATGTAAGGGATAGGGTTAGGCAAATGTGGGGATTTTTGTTGATCAAGTGATGCAGGGTAAAAATGGTATAATTTTGTTGTAATTTGACTTCATCATGTTTGTAATGAATTCCAAAATGTGTATCAGTTGTGTTCAAAATGTGTATCAGTTGTCAGATATAAGCACATAAATAGAACCAAAATGTAACAAAAGTACATTACCAAAATACATGTCATAAATTTACCAAAATGAACATTCCATTAACCACATGAGTGGAACCAAAAACCATTACCAAGTTAAGCATACAAGTGTCTGTGCACCATACATAACCACATCATCAAACCATAACTAAAGTTTTCAAAAACAAACAGTTTTTAACAACAAGAAACTAAATAGTCATTGCACCACAACAAATAACCACAATCACTTCTTAGATTGATTCCCTCCTTGCCCTTTACAGGTCCTAGAGTTGTGTCCTTTATTCTTGCATTTGCTACAAGTAACACTAACATGTTTCCTTGATAGCTTCTGCACTCCATCATTTCTTGGCCCTTGGGAATTTTCTCCTTGCATCTCATTGACTCCATCACCTTCACTTGCCTTCTGCCTTTTGCTTAACCTTTCACCCTCACTTTGTCTTCTTTTTTTCTTAGGCCTTCCCACCTGAGTGTGATGTGGAGGAGGGATTAGCTTTGTTGGACAATTACTTTTAGGCCACATGGGTCTCCCTTTAATTGGTTCCACCTTAAATGAATAAGCTTTTTGCCATGTCTCTAGCCAATACACCTTGTGTACCCACTTGTAAATGTCAAGCTCAGCCTCAGGGTCTTTGCTCATTTCATTCAGAGTTGCAATTGCATGCCTGCAAGGTATTCCCATTAATTCCCACTTTCTGCAAGTACAGGTTTGGTTCCTAACATCCACCACATGTTGATCTTGCAATGCTGCAGTGACTTGATACTTGTTTGCCCCATTCCACCTAGCAATATATTGTGAAGCACCTTTTTTCCTTGCATCTAGGATGTCTGTTGCTGTAGGTGTTAGTGGACCTTTAGCCTTCTTCATTGCCTTCATGACATTGCATATCCTCTTCATTAGATACTCCCTAATGAACTCTAAACATGAAATTACAGGTTTGTCCCTGCCTTTCTCTATCTTCCCATTAAACACTTCACACATGTTTGAAATCAACACATCAGAAACAGCTCTTCCTGCACATTACAATAACATACAATTAATGCTGATAAATAACTGAAACACATAATCTTTACCATATGCAAACATATACAATTACCTGAGAAATGACTCCTTGCCCAATGTACAGGAGGAATTTGCTTCAACCATTGACATGCCTCCTTATCATACTCACTAAACTCTTTCATCAAATGTTCAAACTCAGGAATGGTGGTTGCTGATGCACACCTCCATAAATGGTCCCTGTACTCAGTTTGCCCCCACTTCTTTCTCATATTGTCATGAATATGTCTAATACAATACCTATGCTCAGCATTGGGAAACAATTGATCAACTGCAATTTGTAATCCCTACATGACTCAACATACAATAATTAGAATTAATTTCTTGGTAAAAAAACACAATCTAAATGATCAATTGATGAGTTTTAATTTACCTTTTGCCTGTCACTTATGAAAGTATAGTTTGAGTTGCTCCCAAGCTCCAAGTCATCCCCAAGGTTTTCTAAAAACCACTTCCAGCTAGCTGTGTTTTCAGACTCAACAATTGCATAGGCTAAGGGATAAATTCCATTGTTGGAATCTAGACCAACTGCTGTAAGAACCTGACCAGGGAATGGGCCTTTCATGAAGGCACCATCCAAACCTACTAAGTCTCTAAGACATGCTTTGAAACCTTTTTTCAGTGGACCCAAGCATACATAAATCCTTCTAAACTGCCTTGTTGGGGATGCAGGGTTGCCATTAGGACACACATCTATTTTGACTGTTGTGTCTGGGTTTGTAGCTTGAAGTTCAAGAGCATAGTCCCTCAACAACTCAAACTGTTTTGTGTAGTCCCCAGTTACATGCTTTCTTGCCATATCTTTTGCCCTAAACACCTTATCCATTGAAATACCCACCTGGTAGGTCTTTTGAAAGTGATCTTGTATGGCTCTCAAAGGAATCTTCGGATCTGCCTCAACTTGATCTATGATTTTCTTGCAGATTAAAGAAGCAGTACAAGCTCTGAGTTTTCTTGTTTGTAAGCATGTATGAGTTTGGTTTAAGGTCCTTATAAACCAATCAGATTCGGGGTTTGACCTAGATGCATGTATATACCAACCACATGTTTCTTTTTGTGTCTTTACTTCTTTGCCCTTGCTTTTTGAAGTGGTAGGTTTAGTCCCCACTTGACCTTTATTGATGACAGGTACAACTCCTCTGCACTGTGCCCTAAGCCTTTGACTGTCATTTTTTTTAAAGAATAGATTCCTTCTTGTTTCTAGTGCGTGCACATCAATTAACTCCTTTAATTCTTTTTTACTTTTAAACTTTTGCCCCACTGAGAATGACTGTATATGTACTGACCCAAGGTTGCACCTTTTTTCTTTTCCCAAATTTCTTATGAGAGCTCTTCTTTCTCTGTCTTGGTCTGATCCTTCATCCAATGATTCGAACTCCTCATTGTTGATCACTTCCATATCTTCAGGTTCATGACCATCATTAATACATGCTCCTTCAACATCACTTTCAACATTTACAAAGAAGTCTGCCATGTCCACATCAACATCTTCTATATTGTTCTCCTCATCCATTATGTCATCCACTTTATCTTCATTTTCTGATTGTTTCCCATCATGATCATCACCTTCATCCTTTTCATACTCTTCATCACTCTCTTCAGATTCAACATCCCCTTCATACTCTTCAACATACTCATCACTTCCATTTAAATTTTCCATAAGGTTGTCAAAAAGTTCATTATATTGTTCATCATCATTAATGGGTGGGGTGTTGTAGCATCCATCAATATGGTCATTATCATGAACCCCAATCATCTCATCCCCTACATTAGCAATATTTGAAGTAAATGGATTGTAGCATCCTTCAACAACAGTTGCAGCCTCATGAACCTCCTTAACACCCTCATTAGTGTTTTCCTTCTCTTTTAAATCATCAATATCCTCTAAATTAAGCCTCTTGCTACAAGAACCTTCCTCTCTTTTTGAATTCCCAACTCTACCCCTTCTATACTCTGGAGAGAATGCATCAGTTTTACTCCCAAAAAGAATCAAAGACATGTACTCACCAATTGGTTCATCATTGACATGGTTCATATTTCTCAATGGAGATTCTACATGAACTTCAGCCTCATATTTAGCCCCTTGATCATCATTTTCTGGTAATTCCTCAATGACAACTTTACCCTTTGCATTTGGAGACATGAAGTATGTGAGTAGATTTGTCTTCCCATGTTCTGTGTACACTTCAATCAACTTGTTATTTTGAATAAATTTAGAAAGATTGATAACATCCTGATCATTCCCTAAAGCTCTAAGACCAAATTGAAAGTCACCATTGGGTATCCTGAAATGGTAGTATATCACTGGGGATTCAACACTCAATTCAATCATCCGTGGGTCTGGGTAACCTAGGTCAAGCATTATGGCATCAAGTTCATGTACAGAAAACTCATCTATGTCCACATAATCAACATAACGCACTTCACCTCCAGTATACTTTATGTCAGGTAACTTAGTAAACTTCCCACCATGATGAAGCTTAATACTAAACCATGTGGGTGCACCCGCTACAAGTCAAAATTGTACATGATAACAAAGTCAAAATTTGGCGGATTTTAGTATAAATCAAGGGTAAAATGAAAAATAGGAATGTTTAAGAAAACAGAGCAACTTACCATATAAGGATGATACGTCGACAACTTCATTTTTTGGTCTGATCTGCCACATTACGTACACCATTTCGACTTTAAAGTATGACCTTGTCTCCTTTTGCTTCGATTAGGTTCTTTCGATAACGACTTTTTTTTTTTTTGCAGGTTTAATGGAGCAGAAGGAAGAAGGAGGGAGGTGGGGAGTTGACGGGTGTTTGGGATTGTAAATGAGGGATAAAAGGTAGAAGGAAGTGTTGACACTGTAAGTAAAAAGACAAAAATACCCTCACGTGCAAGGCACATGAGGGGGTTAACGGATTTTTTTTAACGGGTGTTAAGTATAGGGACCATTCTCACAAACAAACCAGTCCAAAAGGACCACAAAACCAAAAAACTCGTGGTTTGGACTTTTTTCCTGAAAAAATGCAAACCACAGGGACCATTTTTGCAATTTTGTCTAAAATTAAAATATATTTTTTAATATCAAAATAAGTTATAGTGACTAAAAATAATTGTCACTGCATGGAAGACTTAATGACTAAAAATTATTGTCACTTGTGTTGGAGGTTTAGTGACCAAAATAATGGTCACTATATACTTTTAGTTATTTGAATCGACCTATGTGTGATGTGGAAAACTATATATATATATATATATATATATATATATATATATATATATATATATATATATATATATATATGGGTAAAGTGAATATACCTAACAACCTTATATAAGCTTAGGTACCTAACCACATCATACTATGTAATTTTGTATCATATTTGCATTGTAATCACCCAAAGTGAATAAAATTCAACCTCATAATTTGATTGCTTTCAAAATCTTTGGACTATCACCATTAGCTTCCTTCAAATGACGTCTTTCTATCGGAGACCCCCTGATGGGCTTTATATACTACCGTTACAAATCAAATGGTATAGGAAGAATATAATGGTGAATATATGAAAATCTTGGAAGTAAATCAAGTTAAGGATTAAAGTTTAAGAACCTTAGATGATTGCAATGGAAATATAATGCAAAACAATGCAGTATAATGTGGTTAGGTACCTAAGCTTATATAAGGTTGTTAGGTATATTCACTTTACCCTATATATATATATATATATATATATATATATATATATATATATATATATATATATATATATATATATATATATATATATATATATATATATCAAACGATGTCCATTCCAAGGAGAAAAAAACATAAATATTGTAGGGATAAAAATGTCATAAATGGAAAAATTCAATAAAATCAATAGAAGTCATCAACCGATAAGGGTGAAAACATGACTTTCCCTAAAGTATGTGTTGAAATTAGTAGCCTTGGGCGAGTATTTTAAATGGGAGGATAAAAACAACCGTGAGAGTGGCGGTGTACCAAAACACGTAGACCCTCGCTCATATAAACGAATACATATACAAAATATTTATATTCCCCTCTTTTTTGCTTATTTTGTTCCGTACCCCCAATATCTCCCATCGTTTCACCTTGGGCGAGTATTCCCCTCTTTTTTGCTCATTCATCATCTCCAAATCCAATTTCTACTACCTAGGGTTTTTGTGTCAGCCGTGACTTTCAAGGATTTGGGAAACGGCAACTTCGACGACCAACACCGGCTATATCCATGTCATCGAGGACGTCATCATCAATGGTGGTTTGGCGAAGGCATTCTCAACGAACTTCATGGAGTGAGTGTTTTTTCGATGCGGTGCAAATCTGGCGGAATTTTTAGTATAGATATACTTTTACGGGGTTTTGATTTCGAAGAATTCACCAACAAACTCCCACTATTGATTCACTTTACTCTCCTGTAAGTATTATGTTAGCTTATAACTAATAATTATATCGACATGGAAAGAGCTCTCTACTAGAAGTGCACTTGACCCTATGTGCTGGTCAATTCTTGTTTCTTCTAATCATACACAAATACACTCTTAGATGACGAAATTGAATTTATTAGTGCTTAATTAGGGTTTAAAGTTTCTGAAAATTGACAACTAATTCAATACGTAGTTAGGGTTTATTAAAGAAAGTATATATAAACCAAACTATAGATCAGAACATTTCTCTAAGAGTGTTTAGATGTGCCCTGAAATTGACAATGAGTTTAGACTCTAGAGTGTATGTATGATTCTTATTGTTTACAATAATAAAAGTAGGAGAATTCATAGGAATACGGAAGTCCACCTGTTTTAGCATCAACAATTGTGAATACTTCTAAATCACAAACAAAAGCTCTGTTAAACTGTTGTCTCTCTTAAACTGATTGTCATGAGATCTGAATATGCCCATTACCCTAATCTCACCATCATTGATACTCTAAGATATATTCTCAAGGTAATTTATTTTCAAACTCTAGTGTACCTATGAATATTTATAGTAATTTGAAGTCTGAACTACATTTGGCAGGATAAAAATGGTGAACCTGAGACCACCCCAGAAGAAATTTTGTCAATGGTGAAATATTTAGCTAGTACATCTCACCGTATCCTTGTATTCTTTCAACAAAGTAGTGTGGAGTGGTGCTCATCTTTATGGTTGGATGCCAATCAAGACATTATTCAACCTTCGGAATGACATTAGTTGTCTCCAAATTTGATCATTACCTTAAGGAGTTTACTGATAGGTGGGAGGTGGACAGGGGCTTAAGTACAAGTGGTTACCAAAATAAGAACCATAGTTTCCAAAGAAGAATTTCTCAGGGAAATCTCACAATTGTACATAGATGTTTGATGCCATTTACCCCTAGTGATTATCCTTCTATAAACGAGAAAGGAATTTCAGATGGCAAAGCTCGAATGCTTAATACATACATGGCAAGTGCATTTTTCTTATCTACTTCATTTTGTTTTATTTCATTAAATTGGTATCTTAATTTTTTTCTTTCTAAGATGATTATAGGGATGATGTACATGTCCGTTTGAAACAAAGTTTTATTGGATGTAATTTGTTTTGTGCACAGCAACCATCATCTTCTTGGCTGAACCAAAGGCCTCCTCTTGATGTGCATGTTGGTAATGTCTCTTTTTCTTAATGTTGATGTTAAACATGTATAAATATTTAAAGATATACGTGTATTATATATATATATATATATATATATATATATATACACACACACACACACACACACACACACCATTTTATAATATTGCAGCTTGCATAGAAGGCAGTGAAGATGCTGACAAAGGAGGAGCCAATCAACCAACAACTCAGGTTGTAACTGCCATGTGCTTAAAAGCCCCTTATGTTAGCCAAGGTAGTTATGATAGACAACGATTCTGATAATGTTTTGCAAAGAAAATACAAGCAAATTACAATATTACTCCCTAAATATTGATGTTATAATTATAAACATTTTCAGATTTGTACAACTTGTTGGTGAACAATGGCGTCGATGATTCTGATAAAATATATGGTGTTTCGGTTGAAGAATGTACAATAGTAAGTCATTTTATATTATACATTTTTTTGTTAATTTCATTATATATTGAATTTTTTCACAAACAACTATTGGTACTTAGGTTTTTTACATGGGAAGAAATGGTAACATGCTTTCATTTATGTTTATTACAAAATCATAGTCTTAACTGCTTCTATTACAACTTTGTACCTTCATTTTTGTTTCTATACATGAATCATACTTTAAAAAGACACAATCATAGCATTGTACTTTCAATTTTTATCTTATTAAGAACTTATACCTTAAAATTACCACAAAAACTTGCTTTGTATTAGGATGACATCGCTATAAATTGATTGATTTCATTAAAGTAGGATGCTAGTCTAAACAAATGTTTGAAAGTTTATTGCTATTTCTTGCATTTAACCATTTCTAATATCATTCTTTCAGACTGTAGGATAGCTGAATATTTTTACAGGTTAGTAAGATCCTTATTTACTTTTTGGTTAATATTTGTTTTCCTCTTCTATTTCAATTTACAAATTCTATTACAATATTGTAAATCCTAGAAATATCAATACTTGTTTATTTTGCTCAATGGTGCGTGTTATCGATACACAACTGGCGAACCAACATAAAAACAAGCTTTTACTTCTTTGCCAAATTATATCAAGAAATGGTAAAATGACATAAATGGTCATTGTGTTTTTACTTTGCATAATTACAGAATTGGTCCCTATGTATTCAATTTGCAGACTTATAAAATTGGTCCATGTGTTTTTTGGTTTGGAAAAATAATGGAAACAACCCTTGTGTTTTTTATTTTTCAAAATTTACAGAAATGGTTCCTATGTTTTACTTTGTAGAATTTAGGAATAGTCCCTATGTAATAGTGTGGACAAATGACCGAAATGGTCCCTGTTTTTTTGGTTTGCAAATATGATAGAAACAGCCCTTATGCTTTTTTTATTTTGCAAAATTCATAGAATTAGGCCCTGTGTATTCAATTTGCAAAATTATAAAATTGGTCCATGTGTTTTTTTTGATTCCTATGTTTTTACTTCGCATAATTACAAAAATCTCCATGTGTCTTTACATTTTGAATGATATAATCCTTTTCACTTCTTTAATTGTTGCAGAAAGTTAGCATTATAAACAAGAACAAATCATTTAATCAAGTTCCACCCGCGGTTGGCACAGTTTCAATTGCAAGATTGTTGACATGGTAAGCAACTTCTTTAAAACTTAAATTTTTCATTGCATTGTCAAAGTTTTCTTCCTCTAGTCAACTTTGTTACAAATATATATATATATATATATATATATATATATATATATATATATATATATATATAAAGAAGGAGAAGAAGTATCATTCATTGAATGTTACAAGATTGGACATTTTTTGAAAAAGAAAAATCAAATGATTAATGAGAAGGCTGGAGAAATTTGGGTATTTTTAATAACTTGATATATTTATGAATAATTTTTGTTTTACTTTTAATCTAAATTGTCTTGTTATGTAGAATGAATTGCTAAATGAGGAAGCTTCTTCTTCTTGTTCGTCGGCTGAAATATATATGAAAAAACTACATCGTATACCGGGATATAAAAATGGAACTAGAATTGGAAAAGGAAAAATCAAAAGCCTTGGAGGAGGAAATTCGTGTAATTAAAGAAGAGCAACCACAATTTCAAGAAGAGCAGATCAAATATTGAGAGGAGCAAAATAAGAAAATAGAATTTATGAGTGAACTTTCATGTTTATCTCAATTGCATTGATCAATTGAACTTACTTTTCTTATTAAATGAGTTTCACCTGGTTGATCTTTATATGTTTGTTGTTTAAAATATTGGATAAAATGTATGGATTTTTTTTTAAAATTTACATTTAATTTTCATATTATAAATGTGAAGATATATTTGGTTATTGTTGTATTGTAAAATTTTATTGGATTGATTTTTCTTGTCTAATTGGATATTGTTATATTTCATATTAAAAATGACATTTAATATTTCAATAATTTCTTAATTATTGACCCCTTATTGTGTTTAATAGGATAAATCCGTGATGACTTGGTATAGTCACTATCGGATTAAACAGTGACCATTTTTTATGGTCACTAATTGGATTAAACAGTGGCCACTTTCTATGGTCACTAATCATATTAAGCAGTGACTACTTTCTATGGTTACTAATCGGATTAAACAATGATGATTTTGATTGGTCACTAAGTAGATAAAATAGTGACAACTTTAATTGATTAATGACAACATTTAGTGACGAAGTAGGTCGTCACAGATTTAGTGACGAATATATTTTAGTCCCTGTTTAGTGACTATATTTATATTTGGTCACTAAATCAATTTTGTGACGGACCTATAGTGACGAAAAGTGACGACCGGAATTTTCGTCACTAAATCATTTAGTGACGATTCATTCTATTGTTAGTGACCATATCGTTTTGGTCACTAATTCGCATTTTTTTTGTAGTGTACAACCATCGTTTAACTGCTATATTCCTTAAATAAAAGAAGGATACACATTGCATGCAGAGATTAGAAAGTTTACCAAGCAAAAAAAAAACTAATTTCTATATCTCTACAATGAAACTATCTCGAACCACACATAAAAAAAAACCAATGTATTTTTTTGTTTGTGAATCACATTGGTCCTATGATATGGTTCAATCTTTTGGATTATTCCGTAAGTCTACATTAGTGTAACCACTAGAATAAGGGTCAAATTATAGATTTCCAAACATGATCCAATAGATTATCCAAGTTATTGTTAATTCTAAACCCATTAAATTCAAACAACCTAGAAGGACGAAAACTGTTATCATTTTTTTTGTAACGAGAAACGGTAAGTTCTTTACTTGCATAAATGGCATATGAAAGAAAGTTCAATTAAGCCTTAAAATATTAAGCGAGAAAAACGACTATCAATAAATTTCAGCTAGAAACATCATTAAAGTGGCCGTTCTAGTTATGATAACTCAAAGGGAAATGACTCTTGAGGGTAATTAACTTTTGCGTTTGTACTCATTTGGTTTCTTTTCTTTTTTTTGTATTCAATATACCATCGCACTTGTTGTTGGTGTTTACGATAGCCCTTTTGATCAGCTTTTGACCTGTGATAGCCGGTCAAAGGGTTATGGTGAAAACAAACAACAAGTTCGATGGTATATTGAGTACAAAAAAAAGGAAATGGATCAAATGAGAACAAACGCAATAGTTGGTTACCCTCCTGATTCATTTTCTTTTTACTCATTTACAACAAATCCCACATCATCTCCTACTAATATTAATGACTTTATGAGATTCATTCTTGCTTCTCTTCAAAACATAACCTACGAAAGGACATTATTCATACATGTACAACTTTGTAATGCACTTGAATATTTATTAGGGAATCTTGACTAAGCAGGCGCATTTCATGACTACATTTACATTTCCAATCAAAATGATTTATCGTATCATGGATTCTAGACAAGTCTACAAACGGGTGGAATCACAAGTGCTATGATTTTTGAGTTTACTTAGCTTTAAGATCGAACTCATGGGATAAGATAAAACATCAATATGTACAATATTATGGTGATGTGTAGACACATCACCATAATATTGTACATATTGATGTTGTATTTTATCCCATGAGTTCGATCTTAAAGCTAAGTAAACTCCAAAATCACAGCACTTGTGATTCCACTCGTTTGTAGACTTGTCTAGAATCCATGATACGATAAATCATTTGATTGCAAATGTAAATGTAGTCATGAAATGCACCTACTTATTCAAGATTCCCCTAATAAATATTCAAGTGCATTACAAAGTTGTACATATATGAATAATGTCCTTTCGTAGGTTATGTTTTGAAGAGAAACAAGAATGAATCTCATAAAGTCATTAATATTAGTAGGAGATGATGTGGGATTTGTTGTAATTGAGTAAAGAGAAAATAAATCATGAGGGCAACCAACTGTTGCGTTTGTTCTCATTTGGTCCCTTTCCTTTTTTTTTTTGTACTCAATATACCATCGAACTTATTGTTTGTGTTCACCATAACCCTTTGACCGGCTATCACAGGTCAAAAGCCGGTCAAAAGGGCTATGGTAAACACTAACAACAAGTTCGATGGTATATTGAATACAAAAAAAAGGGATCAAATGAGTACAAACGCAAAAGTTAATTACCCTCAAGAATCATTTTCCCTAACTCAAAATGGTCTATGATTGATCACTTCAAATCATGTTCGAATATCACATGCATGTACATTTCAACTTTTAAATGAAAAAAAAAAAAAAAAATTACGCCCATTTGTGCTGGAGAGAATCCTTTAATTTGATAGTAGTGAGATATTATTACTCATGACCAAAGTTTATTTTTTATTAAAACTTCACCAAAGATACAAAAGTATCTTTACACAAGACACAAGTATTTGTTTTGTTTTAAGAAAACACCAAAGTTATATTGAATTTAAAAGGAAAGATTTATGATTAAATCTTTTATCTAAACATAGTAAAGACAACTTTTATTTACTTCATTATATAATTATCACCACTTAATATCAGTTGAAGGCGGTTTACAACAATTTTTTGTTTCCTTACAATGTTTCCTTACAATGTTTCTCACATGTATCCGGAAAAGGCTTGCATATACTTTTGTCACCAAACTTACCACAACAACACCAAGAATTATCCTTGTCTTTTAAACAATACGTCCAGCAAGCTTGTCGCCTAAGTGTTTTGACGTCATTGATATCAATTTTCCGACCTATAAACCCAAGAACAGTAATATTACTTATGAAGTTCATTCAAATAAAAATGGTTTCATGAGAAATATAAATACACGACATAAGCTTACATTCTTGACAAACAAGTAATAAAAGAAAACTTATACATAAGACCATAACATGATATTCGATGTACTTGACCATTATGCGAGGTGCCATACTTTGAGATAATTTTAACTTTTTTAAGATAAAAGGGTACAAAAAGACTCAATGAACGATAATTGAATGAAAGCTTATATTTATAAACACGTTTAGGATAGTGATGTGATTGTTTAGGGCACCAATTTTAAGATTGAAAAAATAAGCTAATAGAGTCTTGCACGACATCTTTTGTATATTTCATATATGTGTATTAATATATTTAAGTAGTTATAAAAAAATATAAAAGTGCAATGATGTGTATGTGAGTATTGTGTATATATGTTTAAAATGTATTTTGTGTATTGTCTTTATTATGTTTTATATTCGTTTCTATACGAAAATGTTAATATGTTCTATGTTCGTCTTTCTACCTATATGTCTATGTTTATATGATGGCTCAAAGTTTTAACAAAATGTTGTTCTAAGTCATATATATATGCATATAAAAAAAATAGTATTATATATATATATATATATATATATATATATATATATATATATATATATATATATATATATATATATATGATTCATTTTTAAATAAATTAAAAAAAAATCACTTTTATGACAATTTTAATAAATAAAAACAAAAGCATTATATAAATGAATCATCGAGATGTTTTTTTTTAGGATTTTTTTGTAAATCATGTTATTTGTTAATTATGTAGTGATTCATTTGTTTTGTTCGTCAAAAATTAGATTCGGTAAGAACATTTTTTTTGTAGGAAAATAAGAAGTTTTTTTCTATATATTTTTTTAAGGAACAAAACAAATGAATCAATAGATTAATCAAAACTAAACATTATTCAATAAAAAAATTTCAAAAAAACTTCTTGATGATTCATTTATACAATGATTTTGTTGTTATTCACTAAAATTACCATAAAACTGAATTTTTTCTTAATTTACTTAAAAATGAATAATGAAGATGTTTTTTTTTGGAATCTGTTTTGTGAATCATTTTAATTTTGAATTATGTAAAGATTTATTTTGTTTGTTTGCTAAAATAATATGTAGAAATTATTTTTTTACCTTTCTACTTAAATTTTTATTCCTCTCTCTCTCTCTCTCTCTCTCTCTCTCTCTCTCTCTCTCTCTCTCCTCTCTCTCTCTCTCTCTCTCTCTCTCTCTCTCTCTCTCTCTCTCTCTCCTTTAGAATCATTCAAACTATTAATTAGATTTGATTTAAATTATTCTATAATTTACGGCAGAAGACCTAAATAAAAAGATAATTTAAATTCAACTTTTTTATGTTTAATAGGACATGGTGGATATTCTAATGGACCAAAGATCCTTTGAAGTTATAATGAATATCTCCATATAATTCCCAAAAATCATCAAACACATTGTTTGCATGATGTTGAATGAAGGTTCACATAGAATTGGGTTAGTCATCACATAATTTTGATGCAAAAAAACATGCACGATACGATATTAACACAATTTTTATATTTCTAAAAATAAAAATTTTCTTTTCTTTTCAATCGACTATTGATTACTAAAACTAGCTAGTTTTTTTATTTTATTTTATTTTATTTTATTTTATTTTTTTGCGTATGTGTTCTCCATGATTTTCCATAAAAGAACAACCAATCCTTAAATAGTTATCGCGATCGAAATTTATAAAGCGATCCCATGTCGATATTTGAAATCGCGGTTATCATGGTGGTATAGTATTGATATAGCGGTTTTTTAATATTATGTATAATTTATATTATATATTCATATAAAATTTATATATTAGATTATTAATACTATATAAAATTAA